CGGCAGCAAGGAAGAGATCCACCTCCACCGTCACCTGCGGGTGGCCGTGCTGCCCGTCCACGACTCCCAGACTGGTCAATTTTCGATGTGCAAAATAGTCTACAGAACCTACGAAGTCTTGACCCAAGCGTGGTAACACTCGAGTTGCGGAAACTTCACTTGCGGTTGCTCCAAACCAAAGAGCCTAATCTGCGACTCATCTTAACCAAGGCTGGTCTGGACAATGTCAGGCTCAACTTGATCAAGTGTGTCTGTGACACATGTCGGGAGTGCAATGCTTGGGACAAGCCGGGGCATGCCCTTATGCCATCCACTGCACTACCTGGCAAGTTCAACGAGAAAGTTGCATGCGACTTAATGTCTTACAGAAAGGAGCACCATACATTTCACATCGTAGATAGTTGCCTGAGATATGCCATTGGAATCGAGATACCGTATATAACGATGACCGGTATCTTGGATGCGTACCAGCAGTGCTAGATGCAATTCTGACTTGCCAAAGTACTCTACTCCGACGGGACGGTTGCTCTTCACAACGACACCGCAAAAGGCAGTCCCCAAGGCGAAGGGCGCTGAGCTGCGGATGCGCGCGCGTGGACAACGCGCTGCGACAATTGAAGCCAGAAGTGGCATACTACGACATTTCTTTCGCGCCATGGAGACTGGACTCACAAGGTTAGGCATTCCTCTTGTGTTCACCCGACTACTGCATGAAGCTTTGTTTGCCGCCAGTGCGTTCACTTTTTTACAACGAGGTGTCTCCATGCACCGCCCTGTTTGAACGGCAACCAGCGATGCTGCCGGACCTGGATCATGAACAGCAGACAGAGACATCCGATCGCTCTCGGGAACAGGATCGGCCGGGTATGCATTGAGGCTATCATGCAAACCACTGCAGGAGCCAAAACGAATCGTGCACTGCGTACCAAGACGACTATCACTGGTCAGCACTACTATGATGAACGAGATTTGTCTGACTATCATCGTCCCACGACTACGAAGGACGATTGGGGAGGCTGGAACTGCCCTTTCCCGGTCGTGCGGAACGATCCCGACAGGGGCCAAGGTATTATCCGAGTGGGAAACCGCGATGTGCAAGTCCAGCGCGGCGACTCGCGACATCTACTATGCGTCGAAGTTTTGATAGCGCGAGAGATTGGCTCAGACAACGCTGCGCTACGGACAGTGTTGACATTTGCCGCCAGTCTACTTGCGGGGCGACCTGCTATGACATGTGGCTACGTCCCGACCCAAAATGGGACGCTTCAGATGGCGAGTGCGAGCCGGCTTTCTACTGAGGTACACTTAGCCATCCAATGCCTTATCAGAAACTTCTTTCGTATCGAGAACGTGGTCTCTGTCAGGTTAGCTGAGAGTACCCGCGAGTTACCTCCGGTGGCTTATGTTGACCTCTGTGCATCGGTGCAATATGATGACGAGGTGGATCCAGGATTCCATTATTCCGAAGCCGAAGGCACTGCTCTGAATGTACAAGATATAACCGGATCAGCTCATTCGAGGATCATCACATGCTTAAAGTCCAGCAGACCTCAAGCTTGCTTCGACCACGACATGTCAAATTTTGAGGAAATGGCAGACGCACCGACACAAGGCAACAACGCCAGAGAAGCTCCAGAAGCCGAGCCACCACAGGAGGACGGACGGCTTCCTACGATTTATGAAGAATCGGAAGCGGACCTTGAGGCACATATTATGGATGTGTGGTGCATGGGACTACAGGAGGGAAACGAACTATTGGAGGCAACTCCACTAGATGACCTCTACATTGTACCCACACACATGATCACTGACAACCGTGTGCTGGTCACGGTAGCTGAAGAACAACGGGGGGCACCTGCCTGCGTGAAGCTATCCACGTGACTCCAACATCACGGATACATATCTTGTCCCATTATGTTCCACGGGCGAAGGCGATGTTCACGCATTGGACTCGGGCGAAAATTGTTTATATATAGCTCTGCATTGCTGCAGACGTGGCAAAGGTAATCCTCTCCGAACAACGACATGGGATATTCGCCTTCGACCGTGTGACCACCGTGCGAGCATATGTGACCGCTGCCGCAAAACGAGCTGTGGTCGTCAAGGAGGACGACCTCGTCGCGAAGGCCGACATTCAGGCGAATCCATTCAAGGTATCAGAAGCCCAACTGATTGAACTGAAGACATGGCTTGACAAACAGGTTTGGCTACAAAATGTACCAAAGACGTCAAACATCATAAGTTCGAGGTGCGTATAGAAGTGGCAGATCGTGAAGAACGAAAAGGGAGAGATGGGGCGGACCATTGGACTATGCCTGGTACTTCGGGTTTTCATGGACCTCGAAGCCTTCGATGTGGAAACCTGCTCAGGGACGGCGCGGGGGCCACGTCAGAGACTACTCGCAAGCGCGGCAGCGTGCAATAAGCAATGGATCATTGCTCATCTTGACATCAACATGGCTTTCCTGGGGGGACTGACCTATCAGGAACTTGCTGAGGCACCTGGTGAAAGGGAACGTGTGGTGTGTTTGACATTGCCACCTGGATCAGCATCGGTGCTTCGTTCCCTCCGAGGATTCGAGCGTTACGATGAATCGAAGCACTGCTTGCAGTGCCTCAAGCCAGGTACCGGCACCAAGGATGCACCCAGAGCCTCTCTCTGAAGCTCAGAAAGACCACGAGGGGGTCTGGTCTCGGACCCACGTCCTACGACGAGGAGTTCGAGACAAGCGGCAACCTTCTCAAAGCCAAGCATGCTTATTGTATCAATAAGGCGGTACTGAGGACACCATCGACAGGTGCGTCAAGTGTGTTGAGGGTTTCTTGTGGTGCATGTAAACTCGACAAACATACATGTGCCAATTGTGCTGTGAGGTATACCAGGGATGGGGGCGGTAACGTTGCACTTGATCAAGATGAATACATCAAACAGCTCCGTCCTATACAACATCCTGAACTCACCGGCGCAGACGCTGATGCCAAGGCATAACAGATGGTCACTGACATGTTTGTCAGCCTCAGAGGCGCGTTTTCTCACGCATTAATCACACAGGTGTAGTTGATGGTATATGTTGTGTCCCTGGGCGAAGTCGACCTGCACAGCGACTCTGGCTATCGACGCCTGAGTGGAGATGCTGATGACGAGGTCAAAGGCTATAGTATTCGCGGCGCAAACCTGCAACGGCGTGGAAGCTCGCCAACCGGTGCGCCTGTCTTCCATCTGATCGATGCGTGCTGCAAGTGTCACCGCTTGCTGGTCCGCTCCAGCTATTCAGCAGAAACGCTAGCAGCCGCCGGCATCTTGGATGACTGCTATCCCACGATCGTCACTCTGCACGAACTCCACGTAGAGATGGGCGGCCTAAGCATTAAAGTGACTTTGGCCATAGATACGGAATCTGCCTTCAAGTCCTTGTCAAGCGAAGACCAGAGGAAACCGACCGCGTGAACTTTTTTTGGGGCACATCAGTTGGATACGAGAGATGATGGAGCGAGGTGTCGTGCATAGTATGCAGTACTATTACGCTCGCGACATGACCGCGGACGGTCACACAAAAGGGAACATTGTCAGATATATGCTCTTACAGGTCACGAGAGGAACGCAATTTTTCAAGCTCGACTTAAAACGTCATAGTGCATGCCGGGATGGCCAGACAACATCGCCTGAGGCCGCCTGAGGCGCGCTCGCTTGCAGGGCGATCTGCTCGCAAGGCAACTTGCGTGCAAGGGCGCTTGCGTGCTGGTTTGCCTTCCTTTTGAACCTGCCTTTCTTTGCCTTTTTTGTATTTGTAGTGTTTGATGTGTAACGGGCGGCGGAATCACGCTTCGTCTTCCCCCCCCGACTCTACAGGGAGCTGGGGCAAAGGCGAGAGATAGCGAGCGTTTGTCCTCGGCCGTTTGTGTTCAAGCGACCCGCCGCCGAGATATGACTGTGGCTCATCGCGAGGCGCGCTAGTTGCTATCGAGACCGAAAACATCTTCGCTTGAGATGGCCCGTCGCTCCCGCGACGATCAGGGCAATGACCCCTAGATTCTGAAAGCAACAACCCTTAGATTTCCTTGAATTCTGCTGGCGATTCCCTTTGCCTTTCTTTCAGGTGCCGGCGCCCGAGTTGTCTGGACCGCCAGAGGATCTTGCGGCCCACTATATCAATTGAAAGGGGACAGGATCACGCCCCTGGAAAGATGCACCATCTTACACCATATCCCAAGCATTTTACTACATGGTCCTCATTCTGCTTTTTATTGACGGTGCCCTGGTGTGTCTTGCGTTTCAGGTTGGCGTCGCATTGCGTTTCGGCACTGTGAGGCTTCATGCAAACGACTCTCGGGTTTTTCAGTACCAGCGGGCAGCTGTGAAACAGCTCCAGCCCCGTCCCAAGCCATGCAGGAGCAGAGTGCGACTTCCCAGGCGTGTCTCAGGAGCTCTGTCAGGAGCTCAGCCCGCCCGCGCCCGCGCCAGGGTTGCAGCAGGGCTCCGATGAGACAGCATTTCACAGGCTGGTCTCAGGAGGCCCTGTCTAGTGTGCCCTGCACTACGTGTTACTCTTTGGCTTGCGCCGTTGTCGCTTTGAGCTTGGTTAAGCTCGTGTCCTTCTCCTTCCCGCTGTCTCACGACTGAGCATGCCGATTCGTCGCTCCATCTCCCGAGGGCAGGCTGCATCAGAGGATGCTCCTTGTGACCTGCTGGTTGAGCGTCCCAGCGGCTCGCCAACGCGGGAAAATAGCTGTGCATCATTCGGGGAGACATCAGACTCCAGTTGGCCAGAAGTCCAGTTAGCTGACGATTTGGACGGGCCCGTCCTGAATTTGACGGTCTTGCTTTCATGGGATGTTGGCAGCGGGAGTACGCTCTGAATTTCAGACTGGGTCTCGTCGTTTTCCCGATGGCTCCGTCACGCCTCCGCGAATCAGGCTTGTGAAGTGAACTGAAGTGTAGGAAGGCGGAGGAGGAGGCACAGGAGGAGGAAGTGTCGGCACACCCGCTCTTCTTCGCGGAGGCCAAGCCGGAGGAGAAGGACAATTTTGACGTAGGGCCCCTTTCGGTGCTGCAGAAGTGCGTGAAGGACAACTCCCAGGCGCCCTGCAGTGGGTCGTCAGTCAGCCCAAGAGTCGCGAGTGAGGAGGGGGATGCGGAGGAGGATTAGGAGTCATATGATGAGGATAAGCAGAAGGAGAAGGGAAGGAGTAGGATAAGGAGGAACATGAGGAGATGGAGGATGACTATGAGGATGGGACGAAGGAGTGGATGAGAAAGGAGAGGAACGAGACGAGACGAGGAAGGAATCTAAGATAATAAGAACCGAGAAAAGAGATCAGATGGAGGCGGAAGGGGGGGTAGCATAATGTAGTGATCCTTTGGGGAAAAAGCGGAGGACACCGAGGAACAGAAGAAAGAGTAGGAAGCCATGTGTGGACGAACGAATTGCCGCTGCTGTCAGCGATCATGGCGATCCGAAGACGGTATCATCCAAAGGTGTTTCGCGGAAGTTGGAAGGTCTGGCGACCATGTACATGCTTAGAGTTATAGCCGTCATATGCGCAGATAAGACGACGATGCCGAGCTTGCTTCATGTGCATCTGTTCCAGCTTCGCTCCCCTTGGCCGGGCAGTCGTCTGGGGCTGGTCCAAACTGGGTCTCCAAACATATTGGGGGTTGGGGGCGGGGTGAGGAAGGGGGGGGGGTGAGTGGAGAGAGGGGGGGCGACGAAGCGAGACAAGGTGGCGATGGGGAGGAACAGAGCGGTGAGAGTGGGGGCGATCGTCACGAGGACGAGCATTAATGGCGCCCGCTAGCCTTCACGCGGAACGTCCGTCTTGCCTTGCTTCCTTTGGTCCTGAACCTCGCAGCTGGCAGCAGTCAGCCCGCCTGTCTTGGCCAGTTTGCCGCCTTGACTCGCGGAAGGTCTTGATAAATTGCCGGAACAACCGGAAGATCTTGGCCCGCGTCAAGGCTTTCGACCGCCATTCCAACATGGTGCTGGAGAACGTCCGGGAGATGTGGACGGAGATCCCGCACGGAGGCCGTTGTTCTTTCCCCGCCTCCGCCTCTTCCCCATCCACCTCTCAATTCACCTCCCCTTTTCGTCGTCGTCGTCGTCGTGGTCGTCGTTGTCCTCCTCTTCCTCCTCCTCCTTCCCCCTTCTTCTCCTTCTCGCCGTCGTTGTCGTCCTCCTCCTCCTCCTCCTCTACCTCCTCCTCCTCCTCCTCCTTCTCCTCCTCCTCCCCTCCCTCATCCCTTTCTTTCTATCCCTCTTCTTCCATTCCTCCCCCTTCTGTCCCCTCCCCTTTACTTCCTCCTGTATTTTGTCTTCCTGCCCCTCCTTCCACCCCTCCCCCTTCTTGTACCCTACACTTCCCTTTCCTGTTACGCTTGCTCTTGTTCTTGATTTCATTATGCCTCTCCCTATTCCTCTTGCTTCTCTTCCTCTTCTTCCTCCTTTTTCTCTTCGTCTTCCCCCTCTTCTGCCCTTTGTGCCTCCTCCTCCTCCTCCTCCTCCTCTTTTCACTTTTCCCTATCTCCTTTCTCCTCCCTACCCCCTCCTTCTGGGGTGACGAGGTGGTGGATATGAGCGTGGATAAGCAGTGGCCAGGGGCGAGAATGAGGAAAGCAGAAGGGCTGGGTGGACCCTGAGGATCTTTGGGCATTTGCCCCGTTTCGGCCCCCGTCGGGCTGGCGCGAGGAGCGCCGCAGTAAGATAGGGTCGAGGGGGCTCCAGTGGTGTGTTTTGCGTGCTGCTGCACTTTTTTCGCGACGTCTGAGTTCAGGGAAAAAAAAGAAAATCAATACGTAGATGGGAGGGGAGGAAGGATATTGATGTACACCTTAGGCGATGCTTAAGAAAACTTGAGTTTTCGACCAGAGTTTCGATTATTCTTAATGTTTCAATGTAAATCCTAAGATTTAAAAAGAAATGCGGGGGTTTTATTCAAGATCTGAGACTATGAATTTCTTAACCCATGATTTCTTAACCATCTCGCAGGGTGTAGGAGTGAGGGAGGGGGGGATGAGGCAGGAAGTGGTCGGGTGAGCCGAGAGCCGGAGTCCCGAGTTCGACATCGTGCGTCCTGCCCAGTTTCCCCCATCCTTTCCCCGTCCACCTCGCCTCCTTCCACTCTCTTGCTCTTTCCCTTACTCTGCCCTTTCCTCCTCCTCCTCCTCCTTCCCCTTCCTCCCTACTCTCTGCCTCTCAACCCCTGCGTATGCCTCCCTTTCCGGGCATCCTTTCTTTCTGACATTGCCCCCCAGCTTTGCCTCCCTCCCCGCCCCTTCTCTTCCTTTTTCTGCCTCCAAATTCCCTCATACCCCGCACTCCCCTCGCCTTTCTCTCCTTCTCTTTGTCATACCCTCCCCTTCCTGCCTCGCTCGCTCGCCGCAGGCAAGAAGAAGGCGAAGCCCGTCAACAAGGATCGCTTCATCAGCAAGCTCTTCCTGCGCGGGGACTCTGTGATCTTGGTGCTCAG